AGCTATGTAATTAGATGAATGCTCAAGACATCAAATATTTTATTTTTTTAACCAATGATGAAACCAAATGTAACAAATTTCATGAGGCAGATGCACAATAAAACATTCAACAACGGACATTTTTCTTCTGCTTACATATCAGTAGCACAATGCAAACATATAGTCCAATACATTGTTTGTGCATAGTAAAACTTTCAAACATGTATTTTATACCATTCTAAAAGGCTGGGAGAAGAATCAGAATTAAAATATTTATGTTGAATAATTTATAATATAAAATTATTAATATATAGCGAAACTGGAAAACAAAAACATCAAATTTAATAACTGTACATAATAATAATTGTAGTTAAGTCTTTATATGATTTTTTAAATGAATTTATTATTTTTCTTTTCTTTTGGTGGATGTGACAATATTAATTACTTTTTTTCTTTCTTTTTCATTCAATGTTTACATGTTTTTGTGAGATAACCCGTTTCCTATTCGATCGTATATAATGAACCACAGACTATATATAGTGATCAAAATTTCAGGTCCCCTTAAGTTCATCACAATGGATTTGACTGCATAATGTATTTGACAAATTATGCACTACAGTTATGTAAATTTTAGGATTCAAAAGGAATAAAACTGCCCTAAAAATTCACAAGAGCTTAACGTGAGAATGGTTAGTTTTCAAAATAACAGTGGAACACATTTTATACCTTAATGTGTTCCACTGCAATTTTTAAACATGTTAAAATATTAAACATGTTTTGCATAGCTAGCATATATTTTTAAAATACCTAATTTATACATTGATGTAAAAATTTACTATATGATACCCCTTGGTGAATCATTTCTTTTTTGATGCCAAGATCAATGCCAGGAAGGCACAATTTCAAGATGGCTGCTACATAAAAACAAAATAAAAAGTCAAAGACTTGCACAAACTCAGTGCCCAGGTACACATCGATCTATTTTTACTTAAAAAAACATTGGAGAATTGCACAAACTAGGCACTGCGCACTGCCTTATCATCGTCCATGTACACATCGATCTATTTTCATTTAAAAATAAGGAAGCTAAAACAAAGTTAAAACTATCATAGTAACCAGTAATTTTGCTAACATTATCAACATTAGGGTTCCCGAAAAACCTATTTCGTGCGGTAGGCTTCCAAATTTGGCAAACAACCGATACCCCTTGGCAAATTTTTAAGGAAAAAAACAAGGATTACCATAGAATAAAGATTAGCCATACACTGATGTATCATATTTTCTCAAAAACAAAATGAGACAAATACTTAAAATATTTGGTACTTTTCCGTTATGCCGGCGCAAGCGATAAAGTCGCCAATAATGGTACAACCAATTCCAAAAGGAATATTCTCGCTGGTAACCTTTTACGCCTCATTTTAGAAACAAGTCGCAGCTTTTTCTTATCAGATTGATTGTTTCTTTCAATACTGGCATATAATTACATAGGATTTTTATCAGATAGTACAGTTTTATGTCTAAGGCCATTTTCGGTAATTAAGTCAATTAGGATGCAATCACAGCGCTTACCCGAAGCCGAAAATATAGAAAAGGTAAAGTCAAGGCTTAAATTCATCCATTCTAATGAGAATGCGTTAGCAAAGTAAAGCACTGCAGTTTTACATAATTTCTGAGTAAGCTATTCGTACGAATTGAAATATTTGTTGCATTTAAACTTGTGTTCCAAATTAAGATTTAACTTGAAATTAATGTAGATAATTACTGAGAACATTAGATTTTTGTAGTTTACATGAGATGAGATCGCTTGGGGTCACGTGATAGGAACCGGCGAATCAGGATGTTGAACCATGAAAGTATAGTAAATTCTTAAATTAATGTCTTTTTACAAATTTATTGTCTTTATTTATTGGCTTTTTTATAAAAATTTTAAGCGATATTAAAATGTTTATGCCTTCAAAATAAAAAATTCTTAGAACTAACATTTTTTTAAATATTTTTTATGTGTATACTGTATGTTATCGCCAATAAAGTCTGCTTGGCGAGATTTGCGCCGGTGAAACGGAAAAGTACCAAATATTTTGCACATCAAACATTTTTTAAAAAATGCATCTGATGTAACAATTTCTAAAATTACAAATATTTTTAGAATGTTGATACATAGAATCACACAATCATTTTTTAATGAATTATCACATTTTATTCTAATTGAAAAAATTATATAATCTTCAAGAAAATATTTTGGAACTACTCTGATATGCGCCCTCAAGTCGCCAAATTTCTCGCCAAATATAAATACGTGTTTGATGTAACATAAAGATGAGTTTTCCCTAAGCAAAATGAATTTTTATGAATAAACATTGGCATTCTCATGAAACATTGTTAATACATTTAAAGAGACCTTTATAAATGCTTATGAATCCAACAAGACTATGATTTCCCACTTAGTAATTTGATTCTGAGAAACTGGAAGCATTCATTATAAGAAATAAGTGGTCATCTTTTCTGAGTGCAGACAAAATGGACAAAGTCAAGAATAAAATGTTGCAATCACCAATAAAGACAAAAAAAAAAAAAAAATGATGCTGCAAATAAATTTATGCCTTGTAAGCTAATGACCCATCATAAAAATCGGTACTATTCGGTTTCGAGGGCCGTAAAAAATCGCCAAACTATTGTTGATGCCAATGCTGCCAAAATAATTGTTGCAAGAAAGGAAGTATAATAGTAAATAACTATCTAAGATTCATGTTTTAACTTAGATGAAAAGTTAATTTCATATAATACTTTTTTATTATTATAATTTATATGAAAAAGGCTAAACATGACTGAATGGAAGCATAAGAGTAAATAACTATTTCAAATCATTATTATTTTAATAAAAATTGCTAAACAACTGAATGGATGCCTGCACCGCTATTTCGCTACCGACTTATCGCTAAAGCATAATTTCATCTCGTTGGTTGTTCAAATGTAACTTTCTATAATGAATGATGCCTTTTCTTTGAAAATATTCAGAATCGGAATTCAGAAGTGCAGAATCACTCACTTATTTGTTTGCCGCTTTTTACGAGGGTTAAAAACAATTGGATTTTTGTCAATTTTATTTTACTTTTTAAATGAAAATAGGTCGATGTGTACATAGATAAAGTCAAAGGGGTGCGCAGTGCCATTTTTGTGCAGTTCTGGGATTTTTTTTAAATGAAAATAGGTCTATGTGCACATGGATACCGACTATGTGCAATTCTTAAAAACGCATCAAGCAATGAGTGATTCTGCACTTTACCCAAAATTCTATTGCCGACTTTTCATCGTGGCCAATTCCCAAATTGTTAAATCCATAGGATCTCAAAAAAAAGATTAAAATTAAAAGTATTTCAATGGCGTCTTAAGAAATATAGAACTATATACACTTTCGCAATCTGAAACCAGCATGTACGCTAGATTTGGCGTGCTGTTAAATGGGTGCGTTTGTTAGATTTGGCGCACTGTTAAATGGGTGTGTTTGCTAGATTTGGCGCTTTTTTGCATACATTTTCGCTGCAATTTTTTACGGCCCTCAAAAGAGAAGAGTACCTAAAAATTTATTCTGTGAGAAATTCATCACTACCTTGCATAAAGCAGATAATTTCTATAAAGCTGACAACATAAATTACAACTGAAATCTCATGTGACATATTACTTGTACTATACTATACTTGTATATGTGTCATGCACTAAAACAATTTGCATTAATATCCAATCTGGGTTTCCAAAATTTTTTAATTTTTATGTACAAGACATTCAGATCGCCCTGTCTTTATGTATAATATGTATATCACATTTTCAGTTTTAAAATACATACATAGAAATAAAAGACATTAAATTTAAAAATGAGCACTCATGTATTAAAGGTACAAATAAATTACAAATAATGCTCTGGCACATTTCGTATTATAAATCTATCGGTAATTTTCTGTTATCGGGACTGGATTCAGAAATGTATGCATTTATGTATGTATGCATGCAAGTGTGTATGTGTGTTACATACGTACATACATTTCAGAATCTGGTCCCGATAACAGAAAATTATCAATCTCTAACACAATAGGCCCAAACCTTTAAGTTTTGAACTTATTTACAAAATGTTTGCATATTCTACTGAATGTGTATATGTTATATAAGTTTGTATAAACAGGCTATTATACATAAAATATGTATGCATAAATAGATTATAAGAAGTTATGCGTAAACTTTTATCAAGCTAATAAAAAAATTTTAGCAAGGATTTATTATACTAATGCCAATAGGTCCTTACACATAAAAATAAATAAATTAAATATATGCTAAATTACATTAAAATCATTTTTCCAGTTTTTTAATACCCCACACACACAAATAAATAAAAATCCCAATTAAAGTCCATTACAGTCGTTTTATTATACAATACTGCATTTTGTTTTAAAAAAACTGCAGTTCATAATTAAAGAATACTCAACAAAGCCTAGACAAAATGTGAAATACACAAGAAAGGAGTAATTCAACTTTAAAATTTACATTTTCTTCCCCCAAAAAGATAAACGAGACCAAATAACCGAAAACTATACCCTTCAAGTTGAAGCTCACATAATTTACAATAAGGGAGGCGACACTAAAATTGAAATCTAATCTTCAGTTTCAGGCAACTTAATGAAACTAGTGAATGCATAAATTTTTGATGGCAACCTGAATATTTGACAAAATTATATATCGCTTATCAAATCAGCATTTCCATCCATTGAAAATTGTAATTTAATAAAACTTTTACATAAAATTCACGCGATAACATTAAATATACACCGATGTTGTCAAAACAATAAAATAGCTCTTGGTAATAGTATATATCAATTCACAAACTCTAAAAAAAAAAAAAAAAAGAGAACTGTACGACGCAATAAAATTTATCAAATACACAAGATGTAACTTTCACTATGAAGACTTTTAATTGGCAAGAACAATCATAAATCAAATATAACAAATTTCCATATTATATATATTTCCGTTACCTATTATATTCCTAATTGCTACAATTATCAAACTAGTTTCTATCAACTAAGCTTTCATATACTAAACATGACTTTATGGTTAGCAGACGGCAATCAACGACACGAATTTCTAAAACAATATTACAGTAAATGAGCCGATTTGCAAAGGCTGCCATCCACAGAACAAATATGAAAAGATTTAATAATTTTCAAACGCATCCCTAAAAAAAAAATACTTTTTTAAAGAATAATTTTAAATTATGCTACCGTACTAACAAATTGCTTCAAATTCTAAACGTTTTTAATAAATGTCCTCGTATTAAAATTCAAATGTTATACTTTTGATAAATTTTACTGGATCGTGAAGTTTCCTTTTTCTGGCTCTATTCAGACACTAGAGATAGTGAAGAAATGTCGAAAGATTTTGAAGAAATTTCTGTTGTATCAAAATCTTAGAAAGTTTAAAAATTGAAGATATTGGGAAGCAAATGAGGACAGAAACAGCGACAATAACAAAAAAGGAGAAGGAAAGGCAAACTAATTCTTCGCCAAAACAGGACAAGAGTTAAACTGTCAAACCCAAGGAGGTTAGAATAAACTTCTATACTAACCTCTTTGGTTAAAGAAACGCCTAGAATAGAACCAGATTTTAAATACACTGAGGAAGAATATAGCAGGCAATCAAGGATACAGAGTTTACGTTTTTGTAAGAATTTGCTCAATAAAACACTATTCAGGCTAAAACTACATACTTAGCTTGCATTATAGACTTGAAGATGTGAAACTTCTTAAATGCAGCAAAAGTGCATTCCGTGCAAGCTAGGCTAAATTATGGGAAATGTGGAGAATAACGAAAATAATGTAACTGAATCGATATGTAATATAGTTCTCCCAACTATTATTAGACTGATTATAAAGCCATAAAACAAAAACTATCGTGATGAGATAAAAGGACAAGAGCTAATCATGCCGAATATTGGTAACAGAAAATATTTTATGATAGAAACATGTGAAACATGCTATCATGAATATATATGCTTTTCTATTCGAAGCAGTGCATATGGTCAGTACAACTACTTCCCACTTTGGAAGAGATTATATAACAATATTAATATACGGTGACAATCATTTTTCACTTCATTGGCTTAGTAAGCTCGCTTCACCTTTTGTAGAATCCATACTTGTCAAGTAATATTTCTAGACATCACGGATTTCTTTAACTGACAGATTAAGATTTATTGCACTTTCCAAGATATCTTTGTTGCATCTTTCTTAGTGGTTAAGAGGATCCAGGTATTTGCTTTTGGATAAAATCTCGAGAGTTTCATGCTAAACATGATAAATATACTGCAAAGACCTTATGTTTTAAGCATTTGTTGCACAATTCAGTTACTTGAGCTTTACGAACTAATGCAAATAGCCCTTTAAAAAAACTCTTACTGTATACATCTTGAATAAATCTTAATTTATTTAGCCAAGTTTATATAACTTGAAACTAATGTAAGCGCGCAAACTTTAGTTTAGAAATAGAACTGAAGTAAAATGAAGTTTTGGTTTCGCTTTGACCAATAAGAGACGGACACGGCATTTTGTAACACGTTCAGATTACTTTTGCTAGTTTCCTCCGGCACCTGTGTGTGTCTGATATCAGTGATTTCCTCGCACTGCTAGTTTCGAAATTTTGGGATTTAGATATCCCTTTGCGTGTCATCTACCTCTATTGTGACAGTTCATTCGCTGTGCAGTTGCTGTATTATTAGGTAAACTGTTCTGATATTTCTTCACTTATTTTCTAACACGATGTGAGTTAACGATCAATCACTAGCTCTAGGAAAATTGCTTGATACATAAATCTTTTTGGGGATGTAATTTACTTTAAAAACTTTAGTGATTATTTTTATCCTCAAAGTAAGATTTTTTTTTTTAAAATCAATTTTAAATACTGCTGATGTGGCCCTTTTTTTTTTTTTTTTTTTTTTTTTTTTTTTTTTCAATTTCGATAGTTTCTTTAAGTAATAAACTTAAAATGTTGAAAATGTACAATTGTAAACGTACCTACAGTTGTAAATTAAAGTTGACCGATTAAAATTCAGAAATGTTAAAAACGCGTAATTGAAATTTTATGTTTAGATATTTTTCCTTTATTTTATTGTATATTTGTGAGTTATTCAGACTCGATTTGTTAAATGTTAGCATTTTGTTATCAGTACTTTTCATAGCATAATTATATTAAATCTAATGTTAGAGGTGATATTCTAAGGTAAGTTCTGAGTATTAAAATATGTGTTAAAAATTTTTAAATGTGGAGAAAATCATGTAATTTTTTTAATCTGTTAAATTAATTGAACTTCTAAACAGTTCAGAGTATATTAATAGTTTATATCCAATTTTCCTTTATTGGAAGGCGAATTTATAGTAATTGATGGATAGAAGAGGTCAATGACTTTTATGATTTCTACATGGATCTGTTATGGTTGAGATATTTGCTGTCTTAAAGTGCCTTTTCTCATGTGCTCATAATAGATCTGGTTTTAAAATTTATCATTACTAATGAGTATTTTGCCCATTAATATGTTTTTTTGTCTTTCCAGGTGAAAATGATAATTAAAATTATAGTTTATATTCTGCTGATTACAGTTTGTGGTTGTGTAGCTGATGAATCAAAGAAAGAATCTCTTGGTACAGTTATAGGGATAGATTTAGGAACTACTTATTCATGGTAAGAATGAATATCATAGAGAAAAATCATTTTTAATATATCATAATTTAATTTGCAATTGATTCAGTAAAACTTGCAAATCTAAATTTTATTTGCATTTAAATAAAATACTAAATGCAAATTTTAGTCAAGTGTCAAGCTATTTTATGTGCTGATTGCTTTATAGTTAATATGGAGATGCTGTGAGACAATTAAGAAAATACAAAATTAATATGGGTTCTGATAAAAGCTTCTTCTTTAATATCTCAAATTGGATTCTTAACAGCTCTAAAGAAATATTTACTGAACCTTTTTTCTTATAATTGATTCCAGATAGATGTAGATAATTGTTAATGTTGAAAAATTACTGTTCTAAATTATATAATGGACAATGCAGTATTAGAGGTCATTGTTCAGTGTAACATGAGAATAATAATGTGTTGGTGTTTTATTTGATAGGTTTTAATTCTTATTTGAATTTTATTTTATGAAAAACATCAAAGCTGCATATTTAGCCAAGTTATATCTTAATGTATTTTAAAGAAATTTAGCTTTTTCTTTATGTAGAAGTGATGAAGTTTGTGTAATCTGATAGGTTCAGATACTTCTGAAAAATTAATACTGTTGTTAAACCATTATGTTTATGAACTAGGTTAAAACTATCCTTCTCATAGTCTTTTTGAAAGACTGAAAACAAAAAACGAACTTGCAGTTACCTTTAGAGCTTGAGTCTCTAGTTCAAGAATATTAAATATTTGAGTGTTTGTGACTAACAGCAGCTAATTGCATAATGTCTTTGGCTGTCCCTTTTAGAGAGGTTACCAAATTATTGCATCACAGCTGTGTGTTGTAATCAAATGATTTAGCATAACATAAAATGTTGTTAACTGAAGTCCTTTTACAGTCAAAATGGTTAACTAGTCTGCTTTTGATGCATTTTGTTACAATGATGCTTTCAGTACTTGTACTGAACATCATGCAGTTTCGATTACAACAAATACATATGTGGCTCAAACATGGCCATTTCTATTGATTTTGACATGGTACACTTGAAAGCACGGAGGTTACTGGATGAAAGTTTTATATTACTTCGTAAACATTTAAGTTATCGTAGGGAAAAAAAAAGCATTCAATTGTAAACTTTTATCAAAAAAGCTTTTTATATGTAATCAGATAATTATATTTAGAATTTTGTGTTTGGCTTATGCAGCATTAGAAAAATTAATTAAACAATTTTTTTTTTTTTTTTTTTTTTTTTTTTTTTTTTTTTTTTTTTTTTTTTTTTTTTTTTGGCTAATATATGAATCTCTCTAATGAAAAAAAAAAATGCATTTTTTAATAGAATAATATTTGATCTAAGACTGGAAGACTTGAATGTTTATCTTAATGTGTAAATTAGGAGGAAGAAGAACTTTCTTTATTCTTGGAGGCAGGAAGTTTTTTTGCATTTTTATCCTACTTGTGCTTAGTTATACATTGTGAAAATGATATACATATGATCTGATATGAACATTTCAAAATGCATATTTATTACCCCTACTTTTTTAAAGTTTTTTCTCACTTGGGTTTTTAATAAGTTATGTCAGATATCTCTGTTTTAAATTGTATTGCATATTTCTAGATTACAGATTTCATTGTAATGTAAACTAAACCACTGTGGAAAATTTCATAAAACTTCTGATCTTCTGTATTATATTACTTATATATTAAATATTAAATTTATATTTGATGTTAAATGGGTGAATTTGTTTAATTTTCCTAATTCTTATTCTGAATTCATTTATTTTTATAAGAACACAGTCAAAAGTCATTAATCCGGACGTGGTGATCCAGATTAAGCGAATTAGTTTATAAATCATCAGTAAAGGTAGATGGCATGCAGAAATTATAAATTAAAAATATGAACCGTATTTATGAAATAAAGAGCATTATGATCTAAAGTGATCAAAATTTACAAAAAAAAAAAGGCTTAATATTTATTTACTTTATAAACATTTCTCAAGCAAGTTGTTTAAGTTGCATTTTATATGATAATACTTTCTCTTTAATTTATATAAACGAATAATTCTGTTCATTACAAAAGTTCTGCTGTTCAAGTCCTATAATTGATGTGTCAGAATACAGAATTTGCAATCGAATTTTTTCGTTTCAATAACCTCTGTGTCACTTTCTTCACTATCGGAAGTGAATTATAATGACGAGGAATTTGATTTTAATCATATTTCAAAGACGGAATACATCGAGAAGTAAGGAATTATAAGCCAAATAAAATGAACATATCTGCCCTGAAGATACGGATAGTGCTGACGAATCAACTTCTAATTTATTGCGCGCCACGGTGTTGAAAACATCTGCCTTGACAGATCAACTTCCAATTCATTGCGCACCGTGGCGTTTTCCCCCGCCGCAGCATGAAATGATAAACGATTTCGGAATGGTTAGGGTCATTTTTTGCTGCAATTCCACTTTTTTGTTTAATGACTTTGAAAACCTACTTTCGCTTTTGTAGATCCTTTACATATTAGTAAATATATATCTGAAATTTCTATTTGACTAGCGAGTTCAAGCTTACTTTTATAAAATTGCTCTAACATCTGCAAAAAAAATAAGCCGGATCCAATTCGAAGATTAAGGACAACGCAATCTCAACATTAACTGAATATATAATTTAAGCAGCTTTACATCCGTTATACATTAAACGTGCATGCGTAAACGTATTTTGTGCATGCGCACACGCATATTCGCAGCCGTTAGGTCTTACGCGCATGCGTCAACACGATGCATGCGCAGAAAGTTTGTAGCTTTGAGGTCCGAATTAACTACTTTTGACTGTACTTATATTTAGTATTTATAATAATATGCCGAAAAAGAATATTCATTACAAATAATATATAATTTGATTCAGATTTAAATTATTTTCATAATTAATAATTTATGAATTTATTTTTAGTGTTGGTGTTTTTAAAAATGGTCGAGTAGAAATTATAGCTAATGACCAAGGAAATCGTATCACACCTTCCTATGTGGCTTTTACTGCTGAAGGAGAACGTTTGATTGGAGATGCTGCAAAAAATCAGTTAACAACAAATCCTGAAAATACTGTCTTTGATGCTAAGCGACTAATTGGCAGAGACTGGAATGAACCTACGGTGCAAAGAGATGTAAAATTTTTTCCTTTCAAAGTAAGTTTAAATGCTTATCACTTGACTCCAAGCATAAACGATAGGCTTGGCAGCTGCATACGTCCATGTTTAAAGCACAGAAAGGCACAACCTAAGTGTTGTTCTCACAAGCAATAACTAAACAAAAATATATTTCGCTCAGAATTAATATGTTTAATTTACATGAGGTATCAATTGCATTGCTGGCAGACTATCAGATATTTGAAAGCTGGGCCTGATTTAAGAAAAAAAGGTGGAATTTAAAAAAATAAAATGCAAATATTTTTTTTTTAAATTGGAAAAATTGGTTTTTAAAGAGATTAGAATGCTGATTTAATTTTTATTCTTAAATGAATGTTTAAAAGTAAACTGTTTATTCTTAAAAAGAAATATTAAAATATATCTCTATTTTGTATTTATCACTGTTTTTCCTGATAAATAATATAAAATCAAATATTTATATACCTAATAGACAAATTTAAACTCCATAATTAGTTTTTAATTACTGTATTTAAATACCTTTGGCTTTGGCCTGCAAAGAGTTGTATGTATGTAATAATTCACTCTAGTTCAAATTTACTAATGCTGTTTGTACATTTTTTAGACAATTTTCATTGTAATTACAGAAATATTTTACCTAAAATTTTTGTTTTTAATGTTCTGTTTGTTAACCTTCTTCACTATATTTATACACCAAAATTTCCAAGACAATAAAGCCTTTTGTAGTATAGGGAGAGGTATTTTATCCCATTGCTCTTGAATAGCTTTTCAAAGTTTAAGGAGATTGTAGGTCAATGTTTGGACAACCCGTTTTTTAAAAGATCAAAAGCGCAAAAATACGTTATTGATTGATTGAGAGTGAAGGGTATGGTGTTGATACTCGTTTGTTGTTCCATTTTCCCCCCAGGAAATTAACAGTAGAGTTTGACACGTCATTGCTTGCTTTGTTTTGATGTAGTTGTATTGATTGATCACACTGTGTGTAAAGGAAAGGTATTTCATATTTCAAAACTGGGTATAAAATATGTTTCTGATAATATGTAGAGTTGATCGTTACATTTTTCTCTAATTTCTTCATTTTTAATTTCCTGTTATATGAAAAAAAACCAGTAACACTCATAAATTCCTTAGAAAAACTTTCTTTAGATTCCTTAAAACATGTTTCAAGATTTTTTTTTCTCCTCTTGGATGATAATGAATGGATATCTTTTATTGCAGTCGTTTAAGTACACCCAGGATTCATCTATTGTGACATTTTTCGATTTTTGCCTGGACAAATTGTTCTCGTAAAGAATTCTGCAGTGTGTTCTGCGTTTGGTGATATGTCGTGGATAAAGACTATGCACATTATGTTTTTTTGCTTTTTTAAAATTCAAATCACTATTAATCAATCAAAATCATAAAAACAACCTTGTATTTAGCGTAGGTATAATGAAACACTCAATCGATTTCGAGGGCAGCTAAACCTCCCTCCTCATCAGGAGAAAGAAACCTATAAGAAGAAATAAGGAATCACAGAAACCGTGGTGCTTATCATGCACTGGGTCATAACTTTAACTAGATTTTTAATCAGAGTTGCACTGGCCGCCTACTTTACTGAGCCAGGCTATCTGATCAAGCATAAAAAAATTAGCGAAGTTAAAATAGGGAGCGAGGGCAAATGCACATTACGCTCAAAATCTGAACTTCAAATAATGGAAAGCACCAACCACTGAACGGATTTTTATACCCTCTGGTAGTACCAAACCAAGTGCGAGGAGGTAACGCCATCTATCGGCAAAAAATAATTGAATTAAGACAGTAGAATTTTAAAGGCATTAGGAAGGACTGGATTGGACTTCAAATCATTAACTAAACTTTCTAAATCTTTGTGAATGTGAAAAGCCTCAAGAAAATCCAATTCGCCTATGGAAGAAGCCTTTTGGATGATTTTTGCAGACCCAAAATCAAAATTATGGTTAAAAAGTCCAGCTATGATACGCTATTGAAGAACTTTTCCCTTTTTTGACATAAGATTCATGTTCCTTGATACGAAACTTCAACGCTCTTTTTTTGGCCAATATATCTTAAAACCACACTGACATGATATACTATAAATTCCCCAAGATTCAAGACAGAAACGCAATCTTTTAGAATCGAAGGGTGAATTTTATTAATAGGGGAGAAAACCGACTTGAAAATTGAATTTCTGGAGAATCCGTGCAATTTTATAGCTAACAGAAGGATAAAATGGAAGCACGACAAGGTCTTGATATTATTTCTAACAGTGGAATGTGTCTTCTTTGATGGGAATCTGAAAATTTTTGACGGCTTTATCAATAATCACGGGAAAAATCCACGGTCAATCGCAACTGCTCTCAAATAATTAATTCATTGGTAAGCAAAGATTCAGAGGAACAAACTTTTAGCGCGCGGAAAACATAATAGTAAAAAGAAGCCATTTTTGCTTAACAGGGCTGGCATGACTTGCATGGGGTGGTAAACAAAACTGCAAGGGTTTACGGTACACAGTGGTGCTAAAATCGGTTCATTGCGGATTATAAGAATATCGAGGAAGGGGAGGGAATTGTTTGGATTCAATTTCAAGAGTGAATTGGATGGCTGGATCAATGAATTCATAATAGATAGAATCTCGGATAAATCCCTTTATAACCGTCAAAAAGTGCGAAAGTGCGTCAACATACCGAATCCAAAGACGAAAGATAATTTATCAAATAATTTCATCTCAAAATAGTGCATATAAATGTCAGCAAGTACCGGACTGAGAGGATTACCCATAGCCAATCCTTCAACTTGACGAAAATATGCATTTTGGAAACA